TTTGAGTGAGCTAAATTAGAGTTATTTAAGTGTGCCTGTGTGTGTGTGTGTGTGTGTGTATATATGTGTGTGTGTGTGTGAGTGTGTGTGTGTGTGTGTGTGTGGGGGGGGGAGTGGAAGGAGTAATTGCAGATATTTCACATACTTTCATGAGCCTTTTAGTCTTATGGAAAGCATGTCTCTGTGTTCTGCTTCTGTGCTTCAAAAAACAAAGTATCTTGGTTTAATTAAGCATTTGCTTGTATTGCTGGCTGCTCGTGTGCCTTAGTTCTCTATGAATCCTGCAATAATAAGACAGCATATTATACAGTACAGTTTGTTAGCACAGGACATTAGTACATTATATAGGGCACACACTCACATCACATATGAAATATCACATTACAAGCCTTATGAGGCATTATCAGAATTTATAAGCGTGCTTACAAAGCATTGTTACCACGTTACAATCAGATATAAGTGCATTTATAACTATAAAAAGCAGGCCCTCATTCTCAGTTTGGGAGTTTTGAGTAGTATTGTACTGATTGAGTAGGTGGTTACATAACAAGCATGATTACTGAGACTGATCCCCAGAAGTGCAGTACGTATTATCCAATCTTAACCCCCTGATCTACTGACAGTCTAAACATTTAATATTAACGACTTAACATCTTGAAAGATGACAGAAACACAATGTCTCGTATGAAGCGCAGTCTTTGTGTGGAGTGAAAGACCGATAATCAAAAAGATCTAAGATGAATAGAAATTGTCAAAGTGTATGGCAAGGGTCATAAGCATAGCATATAAATGTTAATGAGGAAAAAATATTTTATGCTTATTAACAAACTTATTTATTTTTGCTTTATAATTGTAAAATGCACAGAACTAGCCTAGTGATCTTTGCCTCGCTGTCATCTGCGATGTTTGTTTTTAATCTGCTGTTATCTTTGTTCATGAGAAATTCTGTGGTTCTGAGAGGTTGGAAAGTCTGAGAGCATAGTATGAAAGTGCACAGTCTTTGTTTTTGTGGGTAGACCTTGTATTGTGGGGGCTGTGGACCAAAAAAACCTGAAATCTGTTATCATCTCTCTCTCAACATCAGGTAGGATTTTATAAATCCTGTAGCGTGGGCCAGGCATAAGTGAACAGTGAAGGAATAAGGTTTTAATATGGCTCCTTCTCTCAATGCATTTGCAACAAAAGACTGTTCTGTTATCTCCAGTCCACCAGTAAATGACGACCCTTTGAATGCATGCTTATAGGGAGAGCTTGTTTATAGCTCATTGTTTACTGTAAACAATAGGGGTAGAAGAAAAATGTATACAGCATAGTATCATGATGCAAGATGTTTAAAATAGTATTGATTTACAGAGGTTTTAGTGTTTTAATCATTTCATTAATATTTAAACATGTAACAAGTCCTTTCTAATAGGATACCAAAAACGCATTGCTTTCTTAGTCCACAAGATGAAGGTTTTTTTGCTGCAGCAAGGCTTCTGTCAGAGGAGTCATTGTTAGGAGTGGGTGGATAATGCAGTGGATAACACCCTCGCTCTGTACAGGGGAGAGCGATTCCCTGTCCAGCCAGGACTATGCAAATATGCAATGCAGTAACTGGTCAAAGAATAATTTGCATATGTTTCTGTGGAAATGTACAAAAATAATGTTGATAGTTAATTAAAAACAAAATTGTGTTTTTATATTTTGTACAACCTTTTTTTGGATCAATCTTTAATACTGCTTGGACTGTCAGGTCTATAAGAAAGTCCAAAAGCCTTGTAAATTATAAGGCCTTGTAAAGAATACTGTAGGAAGTTGATTGCTTATGACGAACATTCAGCAGGGGAGCTCTTGTCGGTTTTACTTGTCAAGAAAACGAGCGATAAAACAACCTAGATGTCAATAAAACCTGAACCCTCCCTCCAAACTAATATCTAAGATTTTAAAAAAGAGAGAGAAATATCCAAAGATGCATTTTTGTTCTTTCATGAGTGCAAAAAGTCAGAGTTTAAAAAAGAATTATCCCTCTGAAGAACATTATCAGTCTAAGAAATCAGGAATCCCCCCAGACAGTTTTCATTTTTAATCAGATATATGATTAAAATATGCATTTCTCCTGGAGACTGCTTACAGTTCCCTCTTAACAGCCCTAGTGTTCCTGTGATGGAAACTTCTTTGTGCTATTCTGAGTGGGGAGCATTATCACTGACAGATGTTCAGGTTGGACTTGAATTTTCTCTGCTCTTCCCACCCTCAGAGCAAGATGAAAGGTCCTTTTTTTTAGGAGAGGGGGAAAAAAATCAACCAGGCTGAGAGGAAAAGAGGGGTTTTTCAAGCCATGGTTGTTTGATCTTCTTAAAGCGCGAGGGCTAACCAGTAAGCTACTGTCCTTTGTGCGCTGTCCTAGAACCTGTTGCTCCAGTTCACACTGTAAAGGGAAACAATGTGAAACTGATCTCAGGACAGTGCAGAAAACAGCTGACTGAGTCAGAGTGAGGAGAGGGTTACGGTGAGTGCGTAGGGGGATTTGGGGAGAAACAAGAGGGAGCGGTCAGTCTGACAGCTCAAAGGAAAAGGGCTGCTGTTTGATGTGAAACGGAGACTGTTTATTTATTTATTTATTTATTTTAACCTTTTGATGCTTGGGAGCTGGCCTGTAGAGTCCTGAGAGAACAACCACGCCTGTATGTGTCCTAGACAGTGTGTGCACCTTTTCAAAGCCTATACACCAGTTAAAGGGGAATTCTACCGATTTTTCAGAATTTTGTATGAATAAATGGTTAAGATGCAAAGTCATTAAATCACTGAGTGGTTTGATGTGAAATGCTCCGTTCTAGAAGCCAGACATCTAAAGAGTTTAATGCCTATGAAAGCTCCCTCACAAAGTTATTACATTAAAAATAAATATAAATTGTGCACTAAAATATGCAGAAAAATGACATGACTTAATGATTTCATTTTGTTTTGTTTCTCAACTTATTTTCACGTAGAAAAAAAAGAAAAGAAAGGGGTTGCTTACAACTACACAGAAGTGTAAGACAAAACAGTCCCCTAACAAAACTTGTATAGATAGGGCTGTATGAGATTGACATAAAATGTGATGTTCGAAAAAGCTGTCGGAGTATCACAGTGATATGAGAATATGAGAAGCGTGAAATCATTATTAAAATAGTATGCCTTTGACCAGATGTAACGCAAACACTGACATTTATTTTTAATGTGTAAACGGAAATACTAACAGCTACTCTTAGAACTGCATTGCATCGATAGACAGTCAACATTACCTCAACGGCTTGCTTTTTTACAAGCTTGTAGGTCAGGATAGAGTAGTTTTTGAACTGTGCACTTGTGTGTTTTGTAATTGGTTGTGTAGCCTAATGTTTAAGTCACTCGTCCCTCATGTGAGAGAGCAGAGTTCAGTCCCAGCACAGAGAAGCACTCATTAGTTTTCTATCAGTTTGCGCTGGCAATGTAATGATGTCTCTCTGGCACTGCGTGTTTGGGGTAATCTGATCTGTTATTGCAGCTCTCAATGATTTGTCTATCACAGACAATCATATTACGTTAACGATAAAAATATGATTCATCGCAGAGCCCTAGTTGTAGACATCACCACCAATTTAAAAAAATCTGATTTGGTAAGTTTCTCTACAGTGTACCATTCTACATCAAACTCTTGTGAATGACTTTCATCCATGGTTGAATTATGCAGAGATTTTGAAAAATGTACAGGGTTCCTCTTGAATTACTTCCTTAGGCTTGCAAGTAGTGATCAATAGTTAGAGGTAGTTCACAGTGCTTTATGTTCCGCTCAGAGCATTGGACCATTAAAAAAAAGAATAATAATAATGAATAATAATAATAATAATAATAATAATAACTCTAAAATTGTTTTTTTATGAAACCGTTTTGGTTCTGTTCCGTGACCACACACATCTGTAGAATGCAGCAAGACATATTAAAACATTTTACTGTTCATGGAATAATCTTGGACGGTTATGTTGGCTTACTGTTAATGGATTACTTCTCATAATGGAAAAATGGTTATTGTGATGATTATTCATAATACATTTTATATAGAGCAATTGTGCATTTATATCATATTCTATTACATGCATTTGACCCATTACTTTTCAAAGTACAAAGTAATCAATAAGGACCACTTTTTGAACAGGTTCAGGCTGCTTATTTTAGAGGGAAATCCCCTCCACCAATTCAGTTCATGTTTTTTATAGCAAAACACAAACTAGTTAGTTTTTTCACACAATGCAAACTTTACTAAATGTCTTTTGCAGTATTTCTTACTTCTTTCCCACTAAGCTAGTGAGGTAGCTATGAGTTTACAAAGTTAGTCACATGCAAAATTTGGACACCCATGTGTTTTGTTGATTTTGTAAATCAGAATAAGTACACATCCTCTACAGAGAACACATTTCTGCACATTTTAATGCACAATTACTGATTTACAAAAAAATGGCATATTTAAGTTTACTGTAGAAAATGTGGGCATAGTTTCACTTAGAAAGTCAACCAAACATCATCTGACCAGGGAACCTCAGTGGGTCAGATCAGTGATACTGTTCACTGAAAATGTTTGTTGTGTTTATTATACTATGGCTATGACAGATGCTATATGTAGATGTAAATTTTAGTTAATCAGAGACCCAGTATTCTTTTGTCAGTGAGAGAAAGTTGCTGTTTGTCAGTCAGTTCACCACTTATCCACCAAAGTATTTTTTTTTCTTTTTTTTTAAATAAATAGAACTAAGAAATATTGGATATGTGGTGCCACCCCAGTGGTATTTTGTTGTTATTTTGAATATCTACTTCAACTTTTGTTTAATAACACCCCTTACCAGTGGTAAATTTACTGTAATGCATGCCTTCTCATGGCATTTTGCTTTATTCTGTAGCTTTTTAGTTATGAGATATAAATAATCAGAGATTATTAGTCTAAGCAGTGTAAGCCGTATAATAATATCGTCTGTCTTTCTTTCTCTCTCTGTTTTGTGTCTTAGCTCAGGAGTGTGTACATGTAAAACGGGAGTGTACGGAGACAAGTGTGATGACTGCCGTCCAGGATTCTTCCTTTTCAGCAGCAAAGGATGCCAACCATGCCAGTGTAACAATCACACCAGCAACTGCGACACACAATCAGGTGAGCACACACATCTCGGCCCATTAGCCTTTCATTTCCAAAATGTATTTTTCTTACATGACAAAATAAAAAAGTCATGATGTTGGTCACGTATTTCTTACTGTAGGATAGTAGACAGGAATGACCCAGTCAGTGGGCGATTTCTTTACAGCCAGTTTGGCTAAGCAAACTGGGAGCTCATAGTGCGGTGTCTGAAGGAATACATGAAACAACTAATACATTTCCAGTATTTTCTGTAAGCCAAACTCAGAATACAAAAAACTTTATTTGCTCTTTAATCAAAATTTGTAAATGAAACATCAATTGAATCAAATAAAAAGTGAGAGGCAACTGGCTGAGTCACAATGTTCTTTAGATGTTCGTCTGGGTTCTTTTATGACCTCATGGATGAGTCGTCGATGTGCTCTTGGTGAAATTTTGGTAGGCCGGCCACTCCTGGGAGCAAGATTTCTCCAAGTTTTCTCCATTTGTGGGTAATGGCTCTCACTGTGGTTCGCTGGAGTCCCAGAGCCTTTGCAATGGCTTTGTAAACCTTTCCAGGCTGGTAGATTTTAGTGACTTTGTTTCACATCTGTATTTCAATCTTTATAGAACATGACATCATGTGCTGCTTTTTGAGACCATCTGGCCTGCTTCTCATTGCCAGACAGGTGCTAGTGATGTTTAGATTCAACAGGTCTGCCAGTAATCATGCCTGGGTGTGGCTGGTGAAATTGAAACCAGTAGTCAGTTGAATTTGGTTAACTGGTTGATTTAGTAGGTAAGAGGGCAGTTACTTTTTCACATATGGCCAGGTAGAGCTGACATTTTCCTTCAATAAATGAAATCATCATTTTGTGTTTACTTGGGTATGATGACCTGTTTTTGTTATGTAGATCTGTTGCTTGATCAAATAACAATGTTAGCTTTGTGAGCAGGCTCTGCTGACAAGTTTAGTTGATGAAAACTAAGGGTCATCTTTTATATAATATTAGGAGTATTGTGATCTGAAACATTCAAGAGTGACGTATGTAAACAACAAATGAATTTGGGAAGGAGGCACATACTTTCTCACAGCACTGTAGGTAAACAGAGTGCACGATTTTTAATGCACTGTTCAGTAAATGTCAAACCATCTATCCAACAATTAATAAATGTTAAACTAGTAGAGAGGAGCTGGTTAGCATTAGTTTAACTAGCATGCTAACAGCTCTGTTCACTAAAGAACATGTTGGATTTTGGCTAACTAAAGCACCAACACAAGTTTAGGTGATGAAAACTAAGGTGTGACAGAGCAAAAGTCAAGTGAGTGACAAAAAGCTGCAATTGAGCCTGTTCTGTGGTATTTGAGATTGTAGTGTTTTAGTTAGCAGGACAAACATGTCACACAGTACAGGCTTGGTTCCAGGATATCTCAGGACATCTGAGAGCATAAAGCCGATGGACATTGTTTTTATTGTACTCCGAACACTGTTCAGTTTCTCAGCACGTCACTCAGCATTTTGTCATCACTTTGTTAAATTAAAGCCACATCGAGACCTCAGAAAGCCATGGTAGAAAACGTGACTTAAAATTTCCACAGAGAAATGCAGTTTTTTAGATAAACAGATCTCAGCTAACATTACAGCCTAGTCAGACCTGTTAGTAATGTAGTAGACAGATACAAAGTGTGATTAATGATGGTATCTGTATATATCACAACAGACACACACAAAAGAAACCTCCTGTATGTTTAATGGACTGTCCCCCTCGTGCACAAAGCGGAAGTGACCATGACCAGCCACTGAAAGTTTAGTTTCTCCAGAATGGAAGACAGTCAGTGATGATACCTAAACAATAATTGTTAATGTATTAATATTTCATATCACAAGCACTCCTGTAACTTTCACTGGCTTCTCCAGCAAAAAAAATTTAAAACATTTAATAAAACATTTGCGGTGATGGTGAGCTCAACCCCACGGTAAGCATCACATGACCGCAATATTGCAGTTGTGTGGTCAATGTCGCAGCCCTACTTCTCAAAGCCTCTTCCTCAGTGAGAGAAGTGCATCCTGGATTAGAGCTGCATATTCAGGACATGAAGCTGTCATTGGAAACCTTGTTTGAACTCTGGACAGTCTGCAGCCTGTTAGCCCACCGGCCACAGTGCCAGCCATCCCTTATGCAATGTGCAACTGAATTGGATTTTTTTCTGCAGAGATTTGGGGTCATAATATCTGCTGATGCTATACAAGGAAGAGCTAATTCAATTTGTGCTCGCATAACGCAGAGAGTGCAAACCTAAAGGCCAGAGTGTTTAAGGAAGGAGGGATAGGAAACGTTGCACATTTGGCATCTTTACGATGAAAGTGTTTTTTGTTGACCACAGCCAAAGCTGCAGCCTTCGTCCAGCACTGACATCCAAGCGCTGAAGTCATCATTCTGACACAATGGTAGCAATAAGCACTTTCCCCTCTCTGCCTCTCCTCCTATACTAGTCTGGCAGCTCACTCAGAGCAACCGTATGCATACATTACACAGGATCCGCTAATTCCTCTTAAGTCACAACCAGCAATAACAAATTAACCCACCTACACAGAGTTTTCTGAAGACTTGTCCAGACTACATATTGTGCTTAAATCTAATTATTTCCTCATTGCTGTGTATAATAGGCATTTTGTGGACTCGCTGGAAACCTAATCTCACGCTATAAAGGCTTGTTAGCGGTTATTTAGCACAAGGCCAAGCTTAAATGCTCTGTCTGAAGTATTAAGAGCATGCTAATGTTGTTCATGATGCCTAGTTAAACTTTTTATGGCTGAATGTTTTCAACAATATATACTGGACATCTGACCAATATATTATTTGTAAATTGTTGTTAATTCTTATTGCTGTATTGGCCTTGCAATACTAATGCTTCAGAAAACTGTAATATGCGGATGCACCCTCTAACCAATCACAGTTAATTACAGTCTCAGATTAGTGTTTCTGTGGGTGTTTTGATGAATAGAGGTATTTAGACAGTCCAAATAGTATTTAATTATTTTTTATTATTTTGGTCAAAATAATGTAGGCCCAACTTTAAACATCATGGCACGGAGTCAGTGCTGGCTAGGCTGGTCAGTGATTTACTGCTTGCCTTAGATTATGGAAAAGTCTCTCCTGGAACTGCTGGATTTGGGGGCAGCTTTTGATACACTTGACCATGATTTTTTTAATGGACAGGCCTGAAAACAAGGTTCATTCTTGCCTGGTTTAGGCTTTACATGACAGGCCGTTATCAATTTGTCAGTAAGTGTGGAGTTTTCTGAACTCCACAATATGGTGTCCCACAAGGCTATGTGTTAAGGCCTTTAGTGTTCTTCCTTTATTTAGAGCACCAAAGGTACATAATCCGTAAACACAATGTTGGGTATCACTTTTATGCTGATGAGGCTCAGTTATACATGTCAGCTCTTCTAATAGAAGATGGTGTTAAAGACATAAAAGCCTGGATGACCAGGAACTTTCGCTTGTTGAACTCGAATGAAACACAAGCATTAATGTTGGACAAATGATTAGATTTGACCAATAGGCTATTGCACGTTTTATTCATTTTACTGTTTACTACTTCAAGTGCATTTAGTCCCAGGTGTTTTATAAACGCATATATGTTGACATTAGCACTGACTGTTTTGTGCATGGAATTAGCATTGTCCCACAGTTAGCATATTGCTGTATTTGTAAATTTCAGTTTATTTAAAAGATTTTTTATGCATGATGCAAAAAATCCCAACTTTGGGATGCACGATAATATCAGAATGACATTGTTATCGGAAAAAAATAATTACATTTAGAAATTTGCTGTCAGGCAGATGCTTAGATTTGACCGATATTCCAAACCAACATGTGTATTTATTGTATTCCAGAAGAGCTGAACCTTGATGTGATGCTGAACTGTGTGCTAAAATGTCTGCATTTTAGATATAATGTAGAAATGCATATGTGTTATATTTCTCCATAATGCTAATACAGGTGGATCTAGTCCCAATTTCTACATTTAATAAATGTATCATTTATGTGCATTAAAAATGGAAAATATTGGGATTGGCTCATCATTCCCATATTGGTGCATCCCCAGGTCACTATACACCAGTGTTGATAATATGACAACATGCATTAAATAAAATACATTTGTTAAAAGCTATGCATCCAAATGGTAGTGCAAGAACAGTTGCCAAGCAGCATAAGTCAAACATCATTAAATGAGCAAGACAATGTCTTTCTCATGTTAGTCTCATGTTTCTCATCTTGCTGTACTAATTCAGAGGTCAGTCGCTGTGTGTGGTTATACGTACGTATATAGAGTATTTTGCCAGGCCTTTAAACACAGCTCAGCCAGTCAGATTTTAGAACTGGAGCTGTCTGCTTTATAAGATAGAACTGTCAGTCCTGCAGGAGACACAGAAGTTGAGCTGATTATTCTGCAGCCTCAGGAGACTCTTTCATACTTTTCTAAGCACCTGATACCTTAACAGTGATACCACACACGGATAACAACCTGCACAACTGTTTTAAAAGATTTAGAGTGTTTATTTTCAGCTTTTCTTGGTATGCAGGAGCTCCAGCTGCCAAAAATGTTAAATATTTAGTTTTAACTTTTTCTTTTTTCAGGACAGGTTGAGAGAGTCTTATTTCTTGATGGAGAGTCTTAAAAAAGATTAATAGGGTGTTTATTGAAAAGAGTGTCTGTCTTTTTCTCTTTTTCTGCCTCTGCTTCTCTCTTTTCCTCTCTCTCTCTCTCTCTCTCTCTCTCTCTCTCTCTCTCTCTCTCTCATTCCACTCATTTTTGTTTTCATTATCTCTTTTTTCTTCTCCCACTACTGCTTTCTCTCTCTCTCTCTCTCTCTCTCTCTCTCTCTCATTCCACTCATTTTTGTTTTCATTATCTCTTTTTTTCTTCTCCCACTACTGCTTTCTCTCTCTCTCTCGCCATCATCATAAAGCTTCTTATCATCAACTCTTTTTGAAGAGCTGATATGTCAGTAAAGGAATTTCTAGTT